TTTTAATACAGTGAGTGTTTTGTGTGATTTGATTCTGTGAACGAATTGTGATGACGATTTTAGGTGAGATTTTATTAATTATTAATATTTAAACATACCGTGGATCTAATTTTCAAAAATGTTGTATGTATTAAATAAAGAATTTAAATTGGTTTAGAATTATTTGACCGGTGTTCCTAACAAAGGGAATGTAGGTATTTCAAAGCTTAATTTCAACAAACACGCAATAGTTATAACAGAAATTCCTTTCGTATGTTATGTAACACATTTTTACCATAGACATGACCTTCAGGCTACGTATTACGCGTAAGTAGGTACGGCTACATAAACTCTGTGCTTGATTTCTTTGCATGCGTTCCGCGGCAGTTTTTTCGGTAATTTGATACAAAATCGCGATGTTTCGTGTCAGAGACAATGTTAATCGATTTATATTGCGTTCCCTCGTAAAAATGCCTTAAAATGTTGTCCTCGATAAGTACAAGAAGGATAGGAACTTGCGATTGGAACTTAAGTATTTGTATGTAAATTATTTTGAGAGTTCTAAAACAGATGGTTCACTGAAGCTTATTGGTTGATGGATCACGAATCTCATTGCTGACAAAAGTAGGTATAGATCATTCCCCATATTTAATATGGCACAAATATAAAAATAATTATTTATGGTCTTAAATATTTTGCCTTTTAAATTACGTTTCTTTAAATCACATCCACAATAAAAATTGAAGGAACATCTCTCCCATAATATATTCACTTGTTAGTTTCCACAAAATTGGCAGCATTCCCAAACTGTATGACAATGCTGACTTAGTAAAATATTGATTAAAGCTGCTGCTCTAAAGGGGGTTTATCAATCCTTTCTGTTCTATTGTATTTGTATAGAAAGTCTTTTTTATTAGAAACGTCTAATTTAATAACCCTAGTCCACACATTTATAACTAGCTTCTGCCTTCGCCCGCAGCTTCGTCCGCGTAGTATGTTAATAAAAAGCAGCATATGTGTTAATCCAGTGCATTATCTATCTACATCCAAATTTTAACTTAATCGGTCTAGCCGTTTCTGCGTCAAGAATAACAAACATACATGCATATATTCTTCACATTTATCACATTAGTAGGAAGTACTGTAAAATAGTAGGAAATAACAAAAACTGTGTTAAGGAATACAAGTACTTCAAAATTTTAAACGAATTAAACTTACAACTCCTAGACAGTCTTCCCTCACAGATTAAAAAACACTGTACTATATACACAGAACAGAAAATTTTCTATTCCGTGACTATATAGAAGAAAGCTCCATCGGTAGAACAAGAGTAATATGTATAAATTAAATGATAAAACAAATGAGTAGACCTTCTGGATGGTGCCCAGAAGAATGAAAGACCAAAAACCTTTTTAGAAGGCAACAACTTGTAACATTTCTTGTAGTGCTGGTATCATGGGCGACGAATATCACTTAATATCCATTCATATCCATCCATCCATCAGATCATTTGCTCTTAAGTAAAATTATGGTTATCATTGACTATGTAGGCAGAAATTAAAATATGTACATGACAAATAATAAATCTGTTACTTTGAAAGAAAGGGTTTGATAGAGAAGATGGTCTGTTGTTTCGACAATAGAGGTTCTATTGTCTATAAGGAATCACACAGCGCATATCTTAAATCTAAGTTTCAGCAGAACAGATGTTACCTATATGTACTTACTACAAATTATAACGAGTATAAGGAGGTCTTTCAGCTCTCCTTAATATCATGTCTACAGCTCGCCGCCCGACCAGAACCAGGCCCGAGCGTACGGCGCGTAGCGTTCCGCGCGCGCCTCAAAGAGCCATTAGACCACCACAGATGGGGCCCTAAAGGGCTGATGTTCAGCCGGGGTTGCGGGGTAAGCGCAATGAGGCATCGCGACCTCGGCACAGAGCAGAAGAAGAAACAGGGGGGTTTTTAGTCAGTAAGAGTCTGACACTCCCTCCTGCCCGGCCCTGGGCGGGAGAAGTCATTTGATGATTTTCCCCTCACAAAAAAAAAAAAAAATATCATGTCTACAGTATACATTGCAAAAACATAGCATTTTACATACCTTAAATCACCCTTCTACTACCTTTGTTCGTATAGGGCCCACGCTTGCAATTTCTGTAGCCAAACGTTCTATAATTCATGCAAAAGCCCTTGAGTTTCATGAATTCCTAGTACCAATTTTAATGTTCCATTGAATGTTTGATATTTTAGTCACCAAACAGTTCTAGTTGCTTCTGTTGTCGCCTTGTAAGCGTTTCTAGAAATCAATTTTAATAAATTACTTTGTCTGTTTAATAAGAATAGGAAGTTTATCTACAATATACAAATATATTACAATACTGACACATTGTAATTCTTTTCTATGAAAAAATAGAACCTGTAACAAGTACTTCGAATTTTTTTTGAAACTAAAAATAGTTCATGTTCTATGAATGACGTACAACCACCATTGTAGTAGTAGATACAGGAAATGGATTTTCCAACATCAATGAATCTGCCATCTTTTTCTCCTTTGTCGAGCGAGTGAGATAGTGCATTCTGTGACGTCACAGGACTGCGTGTCCTACTTTCTGGCACTGGCATAACAATTCAATACCATTGTTTCTGGAGACACTAGAAATACAATTCATACTAAAATGTCCTTATTGTGTAAGTGTTCAAGGTTCAATGTTGTATACATATGCATTTTTTCTTTAGGTAAATTTTATGCTCCATTCGATTCTGTGCTCCTAGTACTTGCGTCAGGAATGTAGGTCGATTTCTCCATGAATGGTCTGTTGAACTGTAAAATGAGTCTTAATGGGTTACTAATGGGATAAGCCGGCGAGTTTAATGCTGTCCGGAAATGTATTCAGACCCTTTGTAGGGGTACAAACGTTAATGATTGTGAATGTTAAGCCTTTGCTAATACCCTGGTAGGTATTAAAACATTTTGGAGGATTTGACACAATGTAAGTAGGTCTCTTCTAACTTGATCTCTTTATTTGGGAGGATTATGAGGCTTCTTTATTATATTGTAATGAATTTGCTGACAAATATATTAGGGTGCCCGGATGTCATGGTGGCTCGGAGGTTAAAGAGCCCGCTTCTCATGCATGAGGGTGTGGGTTCGAAACCTGGCAAGTACCAATGTGACTTTTTCCGAGTTATATGTACTTTCTTTGATTACTTAGACACCACAGACATACGGTGAAGGTAAACACCGTGAGGAAACCTGGACTTATAATTTCTAATTATAAGTTTGAAATCACCAACCCGGATTGAGCAAGCGTATTGATTAATGCTCTAACCTTGTCCGTTTGAAAAGAGGCCTTTGCTCAGCAGTGGGCACTTATAGGCTGATGATGATATTAGGGTGCTTAGTTTTTTCACAAAGATTAGTTTTATTCTCCGTTGCTAATACCAAATACTTGATCTAGTTCTTCTCCATCGAAACCTACACTTCGCAACGAGCAAATAGCTTTACTAAAAGAGCAGACCAAACGGACAGTTTATTTTTAAGCTTTGTTCAAAAGTGCCTCTAAGTAGTGTAATTAAAATAAATTTTGACTTGACTTAAACAACTACGAACACGTTGAAACTGGTTTTCTATTATTGTTGTGTTTTTTTTTATTATTTTCTTTATCGTGAAATTAATTCGACATATGTTTACTTATTCTGTAGACTGATATGTACCTTTACCTGTAACGTTCTGCAACTCCTAACCTTACGATAGATCGGTTAAATATTTAGATTCCGCAAAAAACTGGGAATTACCTACAATAATCTGTAACTGATACTTATCCTTGAACGTATAAAATATTAAGAATCGTTTTAATACAATGGAAATAACGACTTTATCACTTGAATTATTTGAGATAGTTGTGCCCCGTGGTTTTTCTCGCGTAGTTTACAGCCTTTGTTCACTGGAGATAGTGTAGCTTCCCACCAGTGCAACAATTTGCAATTCGGTTAGTTATTAATTTCAGGGCCTAGTCAATTGAAACAAATCAACAATCAAATAATTTCTCTTTATAATATTAATAGTTAGTTAATAGTTTCACGTCACCACGGACCCTTATTCATGTGTAGCGTGAAACACACTCACCCACATATATATGTAGAGGTATATATAGACCATCCATCGTATTACAAATTACGACAGCCCGTTGCCGTCCATCGATTGAATTAACCGAATGGCTCAAAATAGCTCGTGTCTGTGACCACCCTAATAGCTGGTTGTTATCGCTCCATCAGGCTAAACTGACGGCCTAATTGATATAGTGCTTTATTGGTTCCCTTCATCAAACTGTAAATGGGAAACCAATTTTGACTGAGAACGTTGGGGTAGGCGCTATTCAGACTGTATAGTCACGTATTTATAGACTATCTATGTAGTTTCGGAACTGCACTTGAAATGAAATCAAAATTAAGGAGAGTGAGAAAAGTGGAAGGTAATATGTATACAGTACTAGCTAATGCCGTGCAGTTTCATACGCTACTCGGCTCTTATTGGTCTTAAGGTGATGTTTTAATGACACTCAGGAACATGTCATAGCTATCTAAAAGTGAAAGAATTATGAAAATGTGACCAGCGGTTCCAAATATTACCCCCTTCATAACAACAAACTTGCAAACAATGGTGAACACTAGCCATTTTGCGTTCTCATGACATTTCGTTTTTATTTTTTTCGGCTTTTTGTATAAGAAAACAATTTATTTAAGTATATACTTTCTTTATCTTTCAAATGTAGGTTTTGGCCACTGGTTTTAGCTGGATGGCAACATAAAATGTAAATTTAAAAAGTGTATCTTTTCAATATTAGGTTGAACAGTTACTTCAGTCGTTTTTCACCTAATCTGTATAAAACTGTAACTATACTGATTCCCTCTCAATTTTTTTTCTTGATTACTATCTTATGCAACCACTTGAGCGGACCTAACCTAACATTGGTATTTCTTAACATTGTTTAATAAAATTTTGTTTTTATTTATTTTCAGAGGCGGAGGTGTGCGTGATGCGCGCGCCAGCAGGGGGCGGCGTGTCGTGCGCAGGAGTGCCGCGGTGGTCGCACTCTGCGCCTGCGCACCAGGCCGACTACGATAACACTCCCGCGCACACGCATCCCGTGTTCCTCCATGACGATCATATTAACAGCCGATTTGCTATATGGTGAGTGTGATTTTTTCGTTTCATCATCATCATCAGCCTTTAAGTGCCCACTGCTGAGCAAAGGCCTCTTCTCATACGGAGAAGGTTAGAGCATTGATCACCACGCTTGCTCAATGCGGGTTGGCGATTTCAAACTTGTAATAAGAAATTATAAGTCCAGGTTTCCTCACGATGTTTACCTTCACCGTATGTCAGTGGTGTCTAAATAATCATAGAAAGTACATATAACTCGGAAAAAGTCACATCGGTACTTGCCGACTTTTTCGTATTTTTTCGTTTGTGAATTGTATATCTAAGATCAGTTCGAATCAACATTTTTATTTGGGTAGCATAATCCAATTAGGATTATAATAGTTAGCCATTAATCGGTGTACAGCGTGATAATAGCCTTACGCTAAGATCGCGCTGTACAGGACTAAATACCTTATCCTAAGTACTACTAGCTAACGTTATCCTACACTATCCTAGATAATCTAACACTTACAATATCCTATCCTAGATCCCCTAAGCCCAATAACCTATGTAGTCTAAGTTCTATCCTATATTTGCCTAGCGTACAATGCGTATAGGCTTGGTACTCTGTGGTATACTGTGATACAGACCAGCACTTCTACGCACCTACTACCAAGCCCTTAACCTAAGGCACGTACTATAGTGGTACACTGTGGTATGCTGTGATACAGACCTACTCTTCGTACGCGCCTAATGCCCTAGCCCTACAGTCCCTAGACCCTAGCCCTACTATACGTATTTATATATACTTATATAGATAGGTGCAGGATATCTGCCAACTGAGACCTATGATGGCAGACGGAATGTGGGTAGGAATGGGGTATGGTGGTGATGGTTTTCTCACTGCCTGTCGAGCAGACTCACACGACAGATCGGTTGATGGCTAAAGGTGTCTTGGCCACAGTGAGAGGTGGAGGAAGGGTAGTGAGTCAAAGTCGGAATCAACTTAATGACTCGTTTATTGCTTAATCTACATGATCTTATATACTAAACTTATCCTATGTACACACATACCACATTATGATTGTGTGCTATGCGTGTAATGTACCATCTCAGTGCTATATACCTTACGTGATTACGTGATGTTTTATTAGTTTTATATATTTAATAAGTAATATGTTTTCCTTATTTTAATCACGTAGGATTATCTCGCTGAAATGGCACGTTCATGTGTGAACATTCTGCCCTCTCCGAGGAACAGGCAACTCCATTTGATATAGTTCTATGGAGTCATCCTTGGCTGCGTCCTGGTTCTCCGGCTGCTTCCTGGGAGGCTTCAGTAGTTGGTTCGGCTGGCTGTAGATGGCGTTCCATGTAGATGGCTGGTTGTTGCCTTGATCTGGTGCACGTTGTGGGTGTGGCGGATCAGCTTTTGATGATTTAGGGTGTTGTCGAAGTCGATGTGTTCCTGTTTTCGTACACGTAACTATCCTGGGACCATAACAAACAACTATAATTATAATTGTCATCAATATTATTGATGATACGCAGCTCACTAAGTATGTGTGAGATTGAATGTCCTTCCATATGTTATCGTTAAGTTCTATTTCCAATCCAGACTCTTCATTTATTAAGTGCTGATAAAAGTCATTGGAACTTTCTATTACAGCCTCCTTAGATATATTTAGTTTTTTACTTCGATTTGATATATATGTGTATATACTAAAATTTAGTTGTTTTGAAAAGGACTCTGCTACCTGAATTGATAACGTTCTCTTAGCAGCGAGTCTGTTGTTAACGGATTTTATGATACAATTGTCAGCGATTTTTATTACTCCTACGTCTTGAATGGTTATTTCTTCTCGCTTACTATCACAAACTATGGATATAGTGCTACTAGTTTTTGTTATAAACAACCATGAGTTTTGCATGCATAGCTGTTTCCAAATTATATTACTTGACATTTCAAAGATATGGGTAGGACATTTAGTGTTAGTTTGATTTTTGAATAATTGGTCAACGATGCAATTTTCATTTAATTGCATGTTTTTCACCATTCCAGGGAAGCAAAGAAACTGTTCGTGCCTTTGTATACACTCTTTGAATTCTTCGTGGTCCAGTTCGAAGTATAATTCATTATTGTAATCAATTGCTAAAAATGCTCTCGATACTTCTATGCTTTCGAACGTATTGTTCATATTCTTCTTAGGTACTGGTGTAACATGAATTAAAGTATACTTTGTAATATCTTTAATTGGAAAATAAGCGTGTACTTGTATATGAGTCATATTCTCGACTATCCTTGTATCTAATAATAGTTCTTGGACTATTCTAATGTTGGATGGCATCTTCCTATTTGCGGAAAATATTAATTCACTAACATTTTTGGGTGGCAAGACACTATACACGCTAGCCTTTGTTAAGTATACTTCTAATAACCCATTGTAGTAGTTTAAAATTTCGTCAATGTAATTATTGGCTACTTGGAACGTTTGCAAAATCTGAATCTTTATATCATTGTGATTAGTTTTAATGTACCAATAGTCATAGCTATTTATGCGCTCTATTACTTGTGACAGTTTTGTTTGAAATCCTTCTAGTTTATGTCTTATTCTTTCTTCAGTACCATTTACTTGGGAAATAGCCGATATCATGATTTTAGTTTGGTGACTAGATGCTTCAATCAATTTTTGTTGGTTTGAGTTCAACGAATCTATGTCTCTGTATATCTCGTCATTTACACCAAACACTGAGGTTAAAAAATTCCCCAGCAAACCCCTTCTCCTTCGCGTTTCATGAAACTCTGTAAAATATTCTTTGATGCGTTCATATTTTGTCTTTTGCTCCAGTAAATGATGATAAAATTGATTACAATGTGTATCCGTCGTTGCAACGTCCGCCTTGTCACAAAGTTGCTTAAACTTGGATAATGCACTTTCTATCCTAATGTAATCCTCATTCAGTCGCTCTTTCTTATATACCGTCTCTATACGAAACATGCCTCGATCTATGTTTGCGGTTCCTATGTTTTCAACATAAAATCCTGGAGACAAATTCTTCACGGTATATGTCTGTGTAGCAATCATAGTACCGAACAATTGTAACATTATTAGTAAGCATAATAGCCATTTTGACGTGCCTCTACAAGACCTCGGACTCTTATTACTATAGCATGTAGTAATATTCGTATTAACTTTGGTTTGCGATTGATGACTCAGGTCCGCATTTATAGGCAACGGAATGAGCGTGTGTATCGACCGTTTCTGAATGGCGCCTGATGATTTTTTAAGAGTAACTACTACTCTAACTAAACCATCATTGCCTTTATGTATTTCCTTGACTTTCGCAAGTGGCCAATTGCTAGGATTAATATTATCTTCTTTCATAAGTACTAACGTTCCAATTGATATATTATTCTCCGTTGTTTTCCATTTGTATCTTTGTTGTAACTGTTGTAAATAATCACGAGTCCAACTTTTCCAGAAGTCTCTTTTCATTTTTTGAATATTTTTCCATCTATTTAACAAATCCGTATTAATGTTAGACAGTGGATCAGGTATTCCTACTGCTTCTCGTCCAATCAAAAAATGACTTGGTGTTAGCACTACATTATCATTTATGTCTTCACTTTGTGCACACAATGGTCTAGAATTTAAACAGGCTTCCGTTTGATATAAAAATGTAGATAATTCTTCGTAAGTTAATGTTTGGTCTCCTATTACCCTGTGTAAGTGGTGTTTCATTGATTTTACTCCTGCTTCCCAAATACCGCCGAAATGTGGCGACGATGGGGGAATAAAATGCCATTGCGTTCCCATAGCTGTCACACTGCTTTGAAATGTGTCTGATTGGGTTATTTCTAACAGCTCCTTGTATAAGAAATTAGCTGCTCCCACAAAGTTTGTAGCGTTATCGCTGTATATATGTGATACTGGGCCTCTTCTTGCCATAAACCGCCGTAATGCCGCTATGAAACTTTCTGTGGACAAGTCTCCTACTAATTCAAGGTGTATAGCTTTTGTCGCCAGACACACAAAAACTGCAATATATCCTTTGTACGATTTATGCCCTCTTCCTTTCATTGTTCTCACTTTTATGGGTCCTGCATAATCGACCCCAGTATGAGTAAACGGAAATGACTCTGTTACTCGGGCTCTCGGTAGTATCCCCATTTTTTGTTTACTTGCCGATGCTGTATATCGAATACATTTTACACATTTTCTTATGTAGCTCTTTACTACACGTTTCCCGCCAAGCACCCAATATTTTTGTCTTATATAGGCCAATGTTAACGTATTACCTCCATGTAATGTTGTCAAGTGAGCGTCATGAATTATAATTGAAGTCACGTGATGCTTCTGCGGTAACAAAATAGGATGTTTTTGATCGTAAGGTAGGTTTGATCTTTGGAGCCTACCTCCCACTCTTAATAAGCCGTCATTATCGATAAATGGGTCTAAGCAAGCCAGTTTATTGCCTTTCTTTAGCGACAACCCGTCACTAATCGCGCGATATTCTTCCGAGAACACTTCCTTTTGTACCAACTTTAAAATATGATTGGCAGTATTATTGATTTCCATACAACTTAATTGGCCATAGTTCCTTCCTTGTCTTATAAATCTATAACAATACGATAAGACTCGTACCATCTTTTTTAAGCTTGAGAATCTTTCCCATATTGATTCCTTTGGTTCAGTGCTTACGTAAAAACTGCGTTTTATTTCTTCGCATATTTCTGGAATAGTTTTCGTACTTGGTATTGAATTATTTTTTAGCCACTCTGGGCCATTCCACCACAGATCTAATTGTTGTAATTTACTTGGCGCGATACCTCTTGAGATTACATCGGCAGGGTTCTGACACGTATTAACATAGTTCCACTTGGCCTTGGGTAATAATGTTTGAATTTCAGACACCCTGTTAGCGACGAAAGTTTTCCAACGATCTGCTTCTCCCTTGATCCATCCAAGCGTGATCATTGAGTCCGTCCAGCAATATATATCTATGTTAACCATTTGCATGTCCTTAATAACGTTTTTCATTAATTTTGCGAGTAATAACGCTGCACACAATTCGAGTTTAGGTAAAGTTATTTTACGTTTCTTTGGCGCTACTTTGGACTTGGCTTGTAATAAAGTGACGTCAGCCGAGTTATCACTTTTTATTACTCGACAATAGACCACTGCGCCGTACGCTTTTTCGGAACTATCGCTGAATCCGTGAAGTTCAATCTGCGCATTAGGTGTATAATGACACCATCTCGGAATTGATATACTTTCCAGTGCTTTCAATTGGCTTTGTATCTCTTCCCACCTTTTCTTTATAGAGTCCTCTACAGGCTGATCCCATTCACTTCCATTTGCCCAAAGATCTTGGATGATTAGTTTCATATTAATAATAACTGGTGCCAACCACCCAAGTGGGTCAAATAATTTGGAAACTTCTGACAGAATGAACCGTTTTGTTGGACTTTGGTTTTTATTAACTATGATTTCATATGAAAAGCTATCTTTATCCGGTGTCCACCAAATTCCTAATGACTTCCTGGCTTCGTCTATTGGCAATCTAAACATTTTGTTATCTTGATTATCATTTGGTATGCTCTCCAATAATTCCGCACTATTCGATGACCACTTTCTGAGGTTAAATCCACCGGTCTGTAACATACATGTTAATTCTTTTTGTAACTGCTTTGCGGCCTTGATTTCATTTTCCCCTGATAATATATCGTCGACATAGAAATCTTGAAGTGCTATACGACTGGCAATAGGATAATTCCTTTTTTCGTCATTTGCCAGTTGCTGTAACGTCCTTACTGCCAAATAAGGTGCAGATGCTGTACCGTACGTAACGGTTGTTAATTCGTATTCCGCAATTGGATACTTTATTGACTCCCTCCATAATATTCTCTGATATTTCCAGTCTTGTTCATTTACTTTTATAAATCTGTACATCTTCTCTATATCTGCCATGAATACTATTCTATGTTTACGCCACCGTAGTAATATAGACGCCAAGTCTTGTTGTAACCTAGGTCCCGTGTACATATTAGAGTTTAAGCTTGTGTGTGATTTAGCCTTGCTTGACGCATCAAATACTACCCGTAATTTGGTGGTTAATGAGTCTTCTTTAATCACCGGTTGGTGAGGTATATAATATTTTCCCTGGTAGTAATCTGATTGTGGCACTTTTCTCATGTGACCCATTCTAAGGTATTCGTCTAGGAATTCTTTGTATTGGTTTTTCAGTGTTTTGTTTCCTTCAAACTTTCGTTCTAATTGAAACAGTCTTGCAGCGGCCCTTTGGCGCGTATTTCCATAAACGACGTCAGAGTTTTTAATTGGAAGTCGAACAGTATAAGTGCCATCTCGATTTCTTTCTGTGTTTTGTTGATACAAATGTTCACATAATTGGTCTTCGTTAGATAGATTATCTCCCTCAGGTATCTCTTCTAATTCCCAGAATTTTGTTAACTGGTGCATTTCAACTGAGCGAGTTATCATACTAGTGATTCGTATGTTGTTTGTGGAAGGATTACTGCTTATTCCGGATAATATCCACCCAAACTCGGTGTCCTGGGCAATAATACCGCTTTCTATTTTGTGTAGGCCTTGCAACAATATTCTGCTATATTCTTGAGCGCCCAATATTATGTCTATTGGACCTCGTTTGTAATAAGTCGGATCTGCAATTAAAGTGTTTACTAAGCACTCCGCTTGTATTGGTTGTATAGTTTTATTTGGTAATGAACCCGTTAACTTTGGTAAGATAATGAGTTTTACGGGTAACTTAAATTCGCTTGGAAATCTCGGTTGTAAGTTCACTTCAATACTGTAGTTTGAAGTCTTCGGTGTCTCGTCACCGATACCTACTACCTCACATTTTATTTTTCTGCGAGGGTAGGATAGTAATTGGGCTACTTCTTCTGTGCAGAATGAAGCCTGGGAACCTTGATCACACAGCACTCTTAGTAGGTGTGACGTACCATCTTTGGTGTATGTATGCACAAGGGCCGTCGCTAAAAGCGTTGTATCCTGTGTGTCCGGTCCTGTTGTGGACGACATGTTTGACTTGGTTTTTGTCCAAGTTGTACTTGTAGTAGGGTTTTCAATGGTTTTCCGATCCTTTGACCCTTTATTGTTGTCATCTTTAGTGACGTAATTGTTGACATTACCCTTCTTTTGAATGTCAAGGTGTAATAATGAATGGTGACCTAGTTTGCCACAATGTTTACACTTTCCATTACTATGACATTGAACGGATGAGTCATGTATTATGCACTGTTTGCATTTTCGATTCTCCTTCACTTTATTGTTACGCTGTTCTGCTGACAATGCTTTAAATTGTGCGCACATGTATATGTTATGATTGTAACTATTACATAGCCAGCACTTGTAGCTATTTATAGATTTAGGAATATAATGTTGTTTATAATCGGATTTTCCTTCACAGATGGTATTTTCGAGACACATAAACCGTTTTTCCAGAAATGACATCATTGATGAAAATGTTTGAGGTTTGTTCGGCGTTACGAGTTGTTGTTCGTATTTTTCGTCAGTTTCCGAATCCCAAATACGACTCAGTATTCTTGTTAACATAGGATCCCATGACGAGATATCAATTTTCTGATTTTTAATCGCCTCTAGGTTCTCCTTAATTGTATCATGCAGAAACTTCAAACTATTCGCAGAGCCCACCTTCAGTTTTTGTATGTTGAGAATGTTGTCAATGTGCTTAGTGATAATCATTCTCTCGTTTTCGTAGCGATTCTTAAGCAATGTCCACGCAGTCGCATAGTTAGATTCGCAAACTGTCAAATGCCTAATGAGTCTGGCTGCATCACCTTTCACGTGCGTCTTTAAATACTGCATCTTTTCTGTATCTGTGAGTGAGTTATCTTCATGAATGATTTTTAAAAATAAGTCATAGAACGAGCTCCACGACTCATAACTTCCCATAAACATTGGAATGACTATTCTTGGTAGTTTCACGGATGGTTTGTGATCAGTTTGATGTTGTTGTAGCTTTTCATATAGTCGTTCAATTATGTTATCGTAGTCTGATTTCAGTTTTTCAAACACTTCATCCTGAAAATAACTATGTTCTAAGATGTTTTCTTCCTCACAGATATTGAAGTGGCCTTCTTCAACTTTATCACACTGTTTTTGCAAGGCTTCTAGCAATGTTTTATAGTGATAGCTGGATCTGTCGTCTTCAATCGCCAAGGCTGCTTTCTCGAGGTTTTGACGCAACTGATTGATGCGGTACAATTGCAAATTCATTTTTGCTGAATTGTTACTGTTGGTTCTGACTTCTTCTGGGTCCCGAACACAAGGTTGCTGACAAATTGAAAGTTTTGCCTCACATTGTTCCAAATAATCCATAGCATCTTTATACAGCTCTTTGATGATCCCGAAGTAATTAGACTTCATATAGGTATGTTCTTCTAAGATCTCCTGGTCTTCAATTAGTGAATGGTTTGCCGATGCTTTGGTGAAGACTTCTGTGAGTCGCGATCTTCTTTCTGCGATGTACTTCTCTGTTTTTCTTGATGTCGAATCCTTTTTGATGTTGTTGAATATGCGTCCGATTTCTTTGTAGTGGCTCTCCTGACTTTTCACAATTTCGTTGATTTGTTGTATTTCCATCTTGCTGCCCTATCCTATCCTAACCAACCTAACAATGATATAAGGGGGTAGAACAATTACACTTAGTTGCGATCTATATCCTCGTTACGGTATGTGCGACTTCTCGAGCACCGGGGCGACCCTGTTCAGGGAGACCGATACCTGATCCGCTACCGAACGACGCAAACTAAGTTAGTCAGTCACTTGATATACAACGAAACAAGCGCTAGGTTTATGCGCAAGTCTGCTGTATACCAATTGTCTGTCAGTCAATTAGTCAATTTAAGGGACAAGATGATTCTCTACCGATGACTCGAAGGACCAAAATGTACAGCGTGATAATAGCCTTACGCTAAGATCGCGCTGTACAGGACTAAATACCTTATCCTAAGTACTACTAGCTAACGTTATCCTACACTATCCTAGATAATCTAACACTTACAATATCCTATCCTAGATCCCCTAAGCCCAATAACCTATGTAGTCTAAGTTCTATCCTATATTTGCCTAGCGTACAATGCGTATAGGCTTGGTACTCTGTGGTATACTGTGATACAGACCAGCACTTCTACGCACCTACTACCAAGCCCTTAACCTAAGGCACGTACTATAGTGGTACACTGTGGTATGCTGTGATACAGACCTACTCTTCGTACGCGCCTAATGCCCTAGCCCTACAGTCCCTAGACCCTAGCCCTACTATACGTATTTATATATACTTATATAGATAGGTGCAGGATATCTGCCAACTGAGACCTATGATGGCAGACGGAATGTGGGTAGGAATGGGGTATGGTGGTGATGGTTTTCTCACTGCCTGTCGAGCAGACTCACACGACAGATCGGTTGATGGCTAAAGGTGTCTTGGCCACAGTGAGAGGTGGAGGAAGGGTAGTGAGTCAAAGTCGGAATCAACTTAATGACTCGTTTATTGCTTAATCTACATGATCTTATATACTAAACTTATCCTATGTACACACATACCACATTATGATTGTGTGCTATGCGTGTAATGTACCATCTCAGTGCTATATACCTTACGTGATTACGTGATGTTTTATTAGTTTTATATATTTAATAAGTAATATGTTTTCCTTATTTTAATCACGTAGGATTATCTCGCTGAAATGGCACGTTCATGTGTGAACAATCGGTATAACTTTCCAAAACTGACTGAATTAGTTTTACGCCAACTGAACGCTTCACCGTTACGTTGCAAATTTGAAATACAACGCGCTACGTCGAGCTACAACACGCTACGTCGCGCTACGTCACGCTACACCAGGCTACACCGCGCTACGCTACGCAACATTGCGCTACGCCATGCTACAGCACGCTACACTCATCTTTTTATCTCATTCTTTCTTCCTTAAAACATTGCTCTCTCTCAATTTTCCAGGCAAGGCGACATATCTTCGCTAGAAGTGGACGCCATCACGAATACCACTGACGAGACGTTGACAGAATGTAACGCGATCAACGAACGCATCCTCCAAGTGGCAGGACCTGAGCTCAAGGAAGAAATCATCACTAGGGGATATGGTATGGAAAAAGTTCTTTACATTATTTCTTCTAGAAATTTTATTACAAAGAACTTAAAAACATAATTTTCATTGATTGATCATTGAACATCCTTTACATTCAGGATAGAAGGAACAGTTTAAATATGTATGAGTGAGGTTCCCAGAGGTCAAATTCTTGTCCCCTTGTCTCTAATCCCTAAATTCAAAATGGCAACACATTTGTAACTCCGTTGGTGTTCCGGGAGTCTGCTTATTTACTTTCTATCTCCACGCTTGAGTTGGACGCTCAAAACGATAGCAATACGCTAATGTGACAACTAGCGCCATCTGTTGACTTTAATAGGATTCAGTGGTTAAATGTTAAATCAGAACAGAGTTACCATAGCAGTTCTTAAAACAAAGAAAGTTGTAAGTAATTAGTTAATGTGTAAAAATGTTTTAATTTTTTAATCCCTAAATATTTAATTATTTCATTCCAGAATGCCGCACTGGCGAGGTGGTTGTTACTCCTGGATTCGGCTTGCGTTGCCGGCATATTATCCACACTGTGAGCCCTAAGTACGTGCCCAAGTACCACACTGCAGCGGAAACGTCGCTGCATAATTGTTACAGGTAAACGTTACTTTTGTTTGTACCTCATCATAACACCAGCCAGAATACGAGCTTCCTCAATGCCTTTTTTTAACCATAGTTAGGCAAACGAGCGTTCGGATTACCTGATGGTAAGCAATTTACGCCGCGAGTGCGTTGTTGGGTTGTTAGAGGCGTACACAAAGGCACATCGACGTTGTCGTCCTTTTAAAATATATCTCATAAATTGACGCCGCAAGTTAAAAAGTACCAGCCCGGGTTGCAAACAAGCGCAATTATGTATCGCAGCCTTGGCTTATGCTTATGGTAAGCAATTAGGCATAGGCACCCGCAATACCAGAGGAGTTACTTGTGCGTTGCCAGAATTTGAAGCATTATGTAGGTTTGGACATATAAAGGGCGAGAAGGATGGGAGAAGCGGAGGATTGGATTGAGATAAAAACAATTCAGGACTCGCAACGCCTTCTTATTCATCACGTATCTAAATATATATATGTATATCTTTATATATAAAAATTTCGTGTCACGTGTTTGTCCGCGATGGACTCCTAACCTACTAAACCGATTTTAAATTTGATTTGCATTCCGTGTGCATATTGATCCAACTTGAAAGATAGGATAGCTTACATCTCAATTTATGGTCACAACATTATTTTATTGCAAATTATTTGTCCATATGTAATATGTCATGAACCTTAGCCAAAGCAACGCGTGGCTGGATCTGCTTGTATATTCTATATTATTATAGCTAATTCAATTCCCTTTGTTTTTCAGGAACGTGCTCTGTAAGGCGACGGAGATTGGTGCTCGTTCTTTAGCGCTGTGTCTTATTAGTGGGACACGCACTCAGTTCCCACCTGATCTGGCAGCCCATGTTGCTTTACGTAAGTTTTGTAATTATATTTTAATAGTACATACTTACATATCGGGATTATGGATTAAGATGTAGATTAAGTGTTTCAATAAATAATAAAAAAAACTTTTAAACATAAATATATATAACTTACGTCTTAGTCAACAAAAATAAGTAACAAAGCCGATAAGAGCTTCCTCTCTCCTATCCCACTTACTTTGCTGTGCCCGACAGGGTCCATGTGAACTATTTATAAGTACTACCACCTAAGAATACATGTGGAAACCAATAAAGTATTGAGTATTGAGTATGGGTAGATACAAATATGTTATATACATACATATTATGGAGACAATGTGATTGAAATGGCCTATTTTTATCGTTTAGGTTTCACAAACTGTGCTATTAATAAATAGCCAACGATAAAATTGTGATGCTATAAACACTTTAACTAATATTAGAGCAACAAATCACAATATTGTTAATTGCTATGATACTATAAGCAGGCGCTTACACCGCATCTACACTACACGCGAAGGTCTCCAAAAATATTAGTCTAACTTTGGCTAAAGATCGCAGTGTGATAGAGACAGATACTATATACTTTTTCAATTTCGCTATGAGCTTATTCATTTCATTGCCAACAATTTCGGGCTCATATGGAAGTCGCCCGGGGTAAGACTGGTAAAACTTTGGCTTTGACTAGATAAGTCGAAATACCTCCTTACATATACACTACAGTATTCATCTAATTTCGTTCAATGTCTCGAGTAGTGTAGATGAAAAATTACAGCACGAATGGGTCGATTCGACTGGACTGTTACCACGGCTTTACAGTAATCTGGCATGAAATAACAACAGCGTTGTGTTTCGTCATGTGAGTGAGGTTACTGGAGGCCCAATGTTTCTCCTTCCACAATCCCTAAATATCAAAAACCCTAATCCCTAAAAGTTTGTGAGTGTCTATGATTGCTACCCATAAGATAATTTATCAGCGTTTGCAGTCCTTTCACTTATAATAAAAGTGTAATTGTTGTGTTGGTACAGGCACGATCCGCCGTCACCTGGAGAGTCACCGCATGCCGTCGCTGGTGGTGCTGTGGTCGTGGTGCGGGCCGGACGTGGCACTGTGGAGCGCGCTGGCGCCGCTGTACTTCCCGCGGTCGGCGCGCGAGGCCGACGCCGCGCGCTGGCGTCTGCCGCACGACGCGCCGCTGCACGACCGACGCATCCGCATCATACACAACCCACACTCGCATAACTCCGACACCGGTGAGCCTCTTTTACTTACTGCATGACTTACAGAGATGTTATAGATATACTTTATTGCTTCGCCACTCAAATGTAGACTGGTAAATAACGCCCAAGGCGTTAAGCCCACATTTGTACATTGTGCAAAAAATATTATCACATTCATCATTAGCCTATAAATGCCAACCGCTAAGCAAAAGCCTCTTCAGAAACAGAGAAAATTTGAGCATTAAGTAACCACGCTTGCTCAAAGCGGATATGTAATTTCAAACTTGTCCCTTGATTTGGATGTTGTTTGTTTAACAAATAATGATTGAAGAGAAAGATTTGTATTTAAAATATCGTCCAGTTAATAGCGAAGAATTGTTTTTCGTGACATTTTGACGGATTACCTGAATGTAAGCAATCGGCGTCGCCTATGGACACCCGAAACACCGAAAGCTTTCCAGTACCTTACCGGCCTTTTAGGAATAAGGGAATTTTAGTGTCAGCATTTCACCCGTGCGAGGCCGGGACTGGTGGCCAGTTTAGTATAACCAAAGCTACTGTACTGAATCCATGTTTTAATTTGCCAACAAATAACTACTTTGAATTTTAACCTTAACTAACAAAAACCTTAAAATACTACTATATTTGCCAAAAACACTTTTACGTAAAATGCAACGCATTTACCACCTACCAGCAATGTTTATATCGATAAACAGACAAATTGACAATGATTAAATACCTACTGATAAAGGTGTAAATGGACCTTAATTGTCTTTGTAAGGGCAGCATTGATTCGTCTAAAGATAACAGATTTATTACTACGCAATAATGAATACAGACTAATCAAGTGAAGTTGAGCAAAGCTGATAAAACTCGAAAGAAGGCTTCTAAAACAATCATCATCATCATCTACTAAGAGCCAACTGATGAGCAAAGGCCTCTTTTTACACGGAAAAGGTTTTCGCATTCACCGCCACGCGTGCTCAAGGTGGGTTGGCGATTTTTAACTTATAATTAGAAATCCTTCCTCTACAACATTGAAGGCAAAGAGAAAGACAAAGAACGAGAAGAAGAAGAAATTGGTTTTGGTGACCACATTTCATCGTCATTGGTTATTATAGTGCCCGTCCCAAACTATCCGTATTGACTCGCTATACAACTTCTTATGGAGCTTATTCCCAAAAATGATGAATGTCATCTGATTAACGTCTCAAGAAGAATTTAAAAGAATAAAGATGGAGCTTGATTATTGTCTGGTGTTTAATATTAGTTTCAGATCATGTCCTGTCAGATGTTTTACAATTTGAGGCTGTTGGGCTAAAAATCTGCTTTGTACTTTTAAAAAATCCCGCGCGGTCCTGGAGGTTAAAGTTCATCCAAAGACGCCATCTTCTCTTGAATGATGATTCGAAACCTTGCAAGTATTAATGGACCTTGCCGAGTTAAATGTATTTTTATGATTATTTAGACACCACCACCACCACCATGACAGACGGTAAACGAATACATCGGAAATTTTGACATTATTGTTCATTATTAATCTAATCATAAGCTTGAAATCGCCAATCAATCGTGGTGATTAAACATCATGTGAGAAGAGTCCTTTTCGTGGTCCTTTTGCTGATATCCGCAATGACAGGCTTATGACGATGAAGTTCAAAAAACGTACACATACATAATATACGCCTCTATACAAAATCGGGAAACAGAATTTTCTAGATTAAAAGTTACATTATTGTATCATCGTATTTCAACAAAATCGATGAAATCACTAATCGAAATTTGAGTCACGAGAGAGTAAATATTATTTGTTTACACAGCGATAGCTCGTCACCATGATACATTATTTCCTATATACAATTCAGTAGGTACTTACACCATTCCAGAGCAATATTGCGTAAGCATTTTCCATATTATTCCATATTTGTTTATTTATTTTTGACTCTTATTGGAGTTTGTAACCTAAATGTGCCTTTTGCACAATTAAGTTCAATTAGGACATTACCTACGTTCTTTTTTCGTTAGGTTTGCTATTAAATAAGGAAATGTTTAATAAAAGGGGGAAATATCGGGAAATAGCCTCCTCCTCGCGTCTATTTCCTCATAGCTGAGGGTCATGACCAGCTCATGGAAGCAGCGTACTGCGTATTACTCTCCACCATCTATTTCTATCTGCCGCCGAGTGGAGAGCATCGTAGACTGTAGTGTTGAAAGTGGTGAAAATTTGATCCGTCCGAAATATTGGATCGGGAAATAACATCCCTTTCGATTTTTTCGACGTTATGGCGAAAGCAACATTATGGCGGTCGACAGGCTGTGGTTATTTCACGCCGGTATTCTGTGAGGCCATGGCATCACTCCGGTCGGATATCCTTAACCTCGGACAAGTCGAAGCATGGCTCCCCTTCGTCTTCGTTCAAGGTTTTGAAGTTCTTAATATAAAGAATTTTGTTTATATCATCAATCACCGATTTTTACATTATCAGTGGTTGAGTAACCTTTGAGTACATATGAAAAATAATAATCACCTACAATAGAAGTCAATTCAAATATACTTTGTCTTACAAATAAGGTCATACGCCAGTCAAATTATTTTAAACCAACTCGAACTACGATGAGTGAACGAGATGACTCATTGCGTTGCATCTGCTTTTCGCAGTAAACGGGAAATTTTGACGTTCCTTTCTTAGTACGTTATCAAATATGAGAATATATACACTATCTTATGCCTCTTTGTTATGTAGAATCCCAAAAATTCTTGAGATAAATGATACCATTGTCTATTTGTACCTAAGTTCAAGATGTCATCATACAATGAATACAATAATTATTTAGTGTTTAAAGCCCTAAACAGTGCTAGAAATTCGAAATTCGAAAACGACATAAACATGCAGACGAATACCATCATTCTCTACAATACCTTTAAGGGTTAAATTCCCTTGCACAATCCTTGGGATGCGACACAAATATGACTATTAGTACATAACGCTTATCTAAGATAAAGAATACATATAAATGGGTTATCGATGGATTGACGCATTTAGTATCGATTATAATCGATGACAACGTTGTTCCGTGAACATAGTTTGGCTTCGAAATTTGATTTGTTAATTGTGAAGTGAACATGGAGGTTGAAAACAAAGTGACTGCTATTGAGATGAAGCCCAGACCTACTGGTATGTGTTTTGTGATATTTTTAACATCGCTTTTTTATATAATTGGAATACAAACAAGACGAATTACCTGATGGTAAGAAATCGGCACCGCTCGTCGACACCTGGAACCGCAAAACAGTCACGAGTGCGTTGGCGGCCTTATGGGATAAGGGCTTCGGATATTTAAAGTTCGGAAAGAGATGAGGGAGGTGGAAATATTAGGTCTCCGGTAACCTCACTCACACGGCGAAACACAACGCTTTGGTTGTTTCAAGCCAGTTTTCAGGCCCAGTTCACAGACCTACGGTTTAGGGATTTTCAAGGCAAGAGTCAATAGTCATTTTTTGAGTTTACGTGTTCTACCTTAGACCCCATCAGGAGTGTTAGAGGCGTCAAACGTAATAAAATAACTAATAAAAAAACTTTTGCGGTAATTACTCTAGCCTTAATTCAATGTATGACCAATGATGTCCTTTCCACCATCCAAATTTCATCACCACCAAACATTCGGCAAAACGTCATCGCCTCATGGTGGATATCCCATTCACATACACAAAGCGATTCGCCTCCAAATTTATTATCAGAACCGTTAAGGAATGGAATACTTTGCCGGAGTCTGTATTCCCAGAAGGGTTATATCTTAACCTGGGTGTTTCCGAGGCCCAAGTGAATACGTTGCTTATGGGTAGGCACGCTCCATCGTAGGTCGCATCATCGTTTACCACCACGCGTGCTAGCAGACAAATGCCTCTTCATCACGAAGAATATGACCTTTATTTAATTAATTTTAAAATTGAAATTAATGGTGTTAAAAAATACTAAATAAGTTCCCATAAGCTTTGTCACAGACATACTTGGTCTTCCATATTACATAGAAAATAGTGTTTTTTTTTTTTAAGGCAACTTTGCAGTTAATTTATTTAATAAGGCAACAAGCCTTAAATAAATTCCTATGTGCAGCATAGTAACTTTTTTAAAGAACCATAAATGATGGCTCCATAATAATGACGCTTTTGTTGATCCAACCAAACCTGATAGAACCAGAAACATAAGAAAATTGACAAATAAAAAAAACACATTCATTCATTTCCGGTAGAATGCAGATAATCGAGAAACAATGCGAAAACAACAGAAAAACAAGAATGTTTCGTTATCTATTATTCATCTTATGTCTACCTATTAATCATATCTTTAATATACATATATAATTTAGTTGATACTTAAAAATATATTCGATACTTATAACTGGAACAAATGTTATCTTGTGATTATGATCTTTACTTGAGCGTTCATTGGCCTTAATTAGGTTTTTATATTTCTGTTTCTTATTATACTACACTTTACATTTTCATATTTTGAAAATAAATCTTAATTGTTTTTTAACGCTTTTGGTGGATTTTCTTTGTTAACTACGTAAGTTGGACTTTTATAATAAGTAATTGAACTGCTTTCCTTAGATTTCATCAAGTAGGTAGGTACTCGTATAGTTTTATTATAAGGATTTATATAACCTCTTCAACGTACTCCTATTATTATAGAATATTGTACCTTTACTTTTTTTACAAATCTTGTATTAAAGTTTAACCAAGATTTTCACCTACATAATAGGGTGTTTGACAATATTTTGAAATATATGAAAAATTACTTAGAACGGTCCATATTAAACAAATATTAGTGTTAGAGTTCTTAAAAATACTCAGAAAAATTTAAAAATGATGTTTTAGTTTCGCCTTTTGAATATCGCGCTAAAACGCTTAATCACGTGACCTATTTGTCTTGTGACGTCATTACACATAAAAATATAAACAATCGTTCTCCAGCTGGTGTTTGGCATAGCACTATTTGTTTGAAAAACATTATTAAAATGAATGAACCGTCATATAAATACTGTTTTGTGCCTTTATGTGAAAATACAACGTTAAAAACTCCGGAAAAACTGTTTGTAAATGTCCCAAAATTGAAATTATTGAGGAAGAAGTGGTTGAATTTAGCACGTCGAGATCTAAAAATGATTTTGTGAGGACCATTTTAATGTAAGTTTAACTTACCTACATAATACCTTATTTCAGTTTATTCTATAATGCAATTGCATGATATGGGGTCGCAAAGAGAAATCAAAGTTGGCGGGACTCTGAGTGGTTTTCAACAGGCAACCTAACATTATCTATTTTATCTTAGAGCCCCTAAGCGCCACCCCAACCCAATTTTGTTTAACAAATAAGTAATAGGATTAAATAAATTAAGTACTTACGTTGAAGTTTTAACATTTCTAAATTCTGCTGAGCAAAAATCTTATTCGAAGCGAAGAAGTTCGCGATCATAAATGTATCAATTCTCGGTATTGCGACTATCTGCCTTAGTAAATCCTTTCTCCATTTTACCACTTTATGATTGTATCTAATTAAAAAGCAAAACAAAACAATTATGATTATTTCACTTTAAAATTTTGCTTAAAACTCTATGCAACAGTTTGTTTGTACTTTATTTATGAGTGATGACGTCACATACAAGGGCCGCCAAATTTGCCTGCGTTTTTGGTCACGTGACTCATAGATTAAAAATCTAGGATTTTATTTACAAAAATAAAAATATTACAATACATTTTAATGTAAATATTGAACAAAATAATTGTGACTTATAAACTTCCTTTTAAAGCAATTCTTTTAATTTTTTGTTAAACCTGTCAAACACCCTATTCATCACAAGAATCGCATGTTCCATTTTCTTAAACGGATACAATGTAAACAAATTTTTTTTTTGTAAACTCACTAATACCCAGAACATATAAAATAAAAGCATTAATTCAAATTAAATCATATAAAAATAAAACAACTATTCACATCATAATACAGGGACAACATACTTGCTTATTTATACACAGCTATCTATTATAGTGTGTACAAACATCTCGGAATTTCGGCTCATTTTCGCCGATCTCCTTGACAAAGTTACACATTACCTTTCCGTCACAGTCGGTTAAGATAGTGAACTTGCAAGTGCAAACAAAACACGCACCTATGTGTTTAAAGTTAGAAGTGAAAATTAGTTAAACAGTGAAAATTTAAAATTTTTGTTCAGATTAAATCCAGTAAGCCATGACATAAAAAAATTACCACCTATTTATTTTAAAGTCGTGTAAAAGTGATTAACAATGAAAACTGCATATTTTTGTGACCTTACAAGGGAAAATAAGAGTGTTATGAAGTTTTCTTGAAACAATTTTTTGTTGTAGTACCTACACTATGTGTGTGTGTTAGAATGTGAACAGTTTTAAACAATTATTTAAAATCAAAGTAAAATGAAACCGTTGACCTTTAAAACTTAAACATTTGTTTATATTTACCTCATAGTCTTGCCAAAATAATGAGATGTACCCCACATTGTTATTCAATATCGAACTGAAACAATATCGGCGAAGTGACAGCTGTTTCCCGCCAAAACGCCATATTGTTGTGTTTATGGTTACGTTCGGAAGCTGTCATAGATAAGGATGTACAACGAAGCTTTTGAATACGATCGTAAGTTAAAGGGATGTTACGTTTATGAAATTATCATTTTAGTTTTATAAAGAAAGTATTTACATTTTAGTGTGATTGTCTGAAGCAAGTATTAGAAAACCATGCTTCCACACAAATGGTACCACAGTCTAACAGAAAACCGACGTGAAACATTGATTGCTAAACAACCTTGTTTCGCCATGTTGATAAGGTTACAGTAGACCCAATCGTTCCCCCGCGCCATCCTTGTTCAATACTCGAATTCTTAACTTCCAAAATCCTGCCAACACACTGGTATTGCAGGCATCCATGGGCACCGCCGATTACTTACCATCGGTAAGACAGTTTGCCGCGATATCGCTTAAAATATAGTTTTTAACATTCCATATTATTTCCTTGTGTATTAATTAACCTTCCAAACGTGGCAACTCGACACACAACAGAAGAACAATAAGAGAACAAACACTGGCGTTCACTTGGGGTTTGATGAATTAATAAAAAAAATACAACAAAAAAGTTTTTAAAGTTTATAAATAGGTAAAATCTTTTGTTCAGCATAGTCTTACTATAAGGAAAACGGCATTAAAATAAACATTAATTAAATAGGTTTAAAGTGCTAAATAAAGAAATGAATACTAAAAATATTTGTCCTGATATAATGATTATATCACTTGTCAGTTATCTGTAAACCCAGCATGGATGTTTATGTATAATTCTCTTATCTAACTACGTTTGCGCATTGCAGATTTTTGTCACACGTGACTATGTTTTCCTTTAATAGAACATTACTATACTATACGTAGGGAATCATTATCTATAGTTTAGTTTTTAATTGATAAATCTAATTAAGCTTAAAAGTACATATATTTGAAAATTTTGAACTTTTTTTAGCTAATTCACTCGAGTAAGTCTTTTTTTTCAATAGGTAAGTTAAGGATTTATAGCTATACTTACTTATTATTATAACTATATAAAAAAAGGTTTATACTTATCTGGGAATCTAAAAATCTTTTTTCATTTAATAGTTACCTATAGGCCCATTTTTATCATTTCCACGCCGTCATACCGGCAAGAAAGTAACAAATATGTATGTATCAGAAATAAAAAAGTATTTGCATAGGATACATTACATATGTTTGGTAACGTTTAAGGATACGCTTCAAAGAACCGTAGTAAAATTCTACAATTAAACAGTTATGTGATTATTATATTTGATCAAATTACAATCATAAATATTTACTGATATGTATGAACCTTACATCTAAAATAAACCCTATTTTATTCCTTTAGCTGAAGATGATACATCAACGTATGACGAGGAAGCGGCTGTTGAAGCGGCTGCAGCGTTTGCCCGCGCGTGCGCACCCGACACGCAGCGTCTGCTCGCGCCAGCCAATCAGCGACAGCCTTACGAACGAAGACCGCGCATTGACAACCAAGACCAGTAAGTACTTATATTTAGTTCACTTATTATTGTCTGTAGAAGACAAAGGAAGCCTTGACTTTGGGGCATTTAGCTAAAAGAATAGCTTGTCATATGTCATTGTTCATTATAAACTTCGAATCTGAATCCGCTGTGAGTAGTAGTACACTAGCGCTACACTTGCGAGTTGAACTAAATTGACAGCAAAATTTTGATTGATAAAGTATGAGATGGCGTTAAAAGTGGCATTCTAAAATTTAATTTCCCCGTCATTTCGCTTTCTTCGACGCTCACTTCGCACTCGAACACGATTCAAAATTAAACAAATTTTATAGAATCGACGTGCTGGGTATATAGTTCGTTTGTATAATTATGGGATCTTTAAGACGGTAGTAGAAATGCTCCTGTGTACACTATTGAATCTTTATTTTAAGACATTTTGTCCATAGCTTTTTACAAATGAAACGTTAGTAGAGTTGTTAGTATACCTACATACTTTGTTAGTAAACAAAAAAAAAACAGTGTACACAATGAATTACTAGAGTTTTCTTTACTTCCTATTTATAAACAGGTGAACGTGTTAAAAGGACTGTTTTTTTGTACGCTAACTTTCTGACTATAGACCATTAATTCAACAATAGATGCGCGAACACCAGCGTTCACTTGGGGTTTGGTGAATTAAAAGAAAGGAGAAACGAGTCTATCATCTTTTGATGCGAATAAAGACCCTCAAACAACGGTCTTCTGGACCTATTTTTGAAGTCGATCAGTTTCACCGCGGTTAGGTTGCATTAGAGCTATTGAAAGCGATTATTGATAGTCTTCGAACTTTATTAATACTCAATACTTTATTGAGAAAGGTTGTTTCATATATCGTGTTTACTTTAAGTCTTAGGTTGAAATATTTCTACTAAATTTTACCAAGACTACGTCATCATCGCCTTATAAGGTAAGTGGTAAAAACGAACATACGCGTCAACAAATAAAGACGCCTCCGATATCTAGCGAATACTATTTTGATACAAGAAATACGTCAAACAACCTAGTAAAGGAACAACACTGAGTAATACCTAATAAATCATTTAAACTAGGTATATGAGTTGCGTGTAGTGTTGTTCATACACAAAATATTACTACGTAGTATATACCACCCACGATTTCTATTTTACTATTACGTTGTGACTAAGAATACTATTTTCGTAAAATACATTCAAAATTTTGTATATTGTATACCTACACTACATTTTCATCGCTATGCACTAAGATCTTGCCTAATATGGTATAGAAATGTTCTATTAAAGGTATTGTATTGAGCTTTAAAAATACTAGGTACACCCGCTGCTAGCCTCCTAATGGTTGTAGCGCCATCTTTATAGCCTTCTTCGATAAATCGACTATCCGACGCAAAAGGAATTATTGTAATCCATCTAGTACATCCGGAATTAAGCGCGTTAAAGCAAACAAACAAACTATTCAGCTTTATAATATCATTGTTAATTTTATGAAAATATTGGGCAGGTTCAGCTTCACAGTAGACTCCAGTAGATATTCCTCTAAAAGAAAAAAAATCCACATACATGACTAACCAATCCATCCACCTAGGTACCTAATAATCAGCAGGTGTTGCGGGGTAAGCGCAATGAGGCACCGCAACCTCGGCCCAGAGCAGGAGAAGGAACGGGGGCGTTTTTAGTCAGTAAGAGTCTGACACTCCCTCCCGCTCGGCTCTGGGCCGGAGAAGTCATGTGATGATTTTCTCCTCACCAAAAAAAAGGTACCTAATAATATTAGAATGGTATATTAGGTACCTTTTATGAATATCCTACTACTAATATTATGAATGTGAAATTTAATAAAAATGTATAGATATGTTTGTCATTCTTGCACGCAAAAACAGCTGGACTGATTTCGATGTATGTAGATAGGTGATGGACATGGGTTTTTTATCAACATAGCACGCGGGTGAAACCACGGGCAGGAGCTAGTTGATTATAATTTCCTGTTTTGCATCAAGCCCTGAGCGGTTTTGTCTCACATGACTAAGTTGACGGTTGATAAGGGTGGCGTCACACTACAACGCTTGTACCGGTGACACGATATCATTGTTTGTACATCAACGTTTGCCATGTTTGTACACAGCTTTATTCATTCAAAATATGTAGGACGGTAATGATAAATTGTTTAAAGTGACATGTTTAAATATTTTTAATTTTTAAGTTAGTATTGTCTGAGATTTTATGATTATTTTTATGATATAGGTATGTCGAAAAATAAGCAGACAGATTATGTGATGATAAGTTATTGTCATCGCTCATAGAATCCCATAATACATAGAGGAGAAAAGAGTTTGTGTTCTAAGCCTTTTAGGGGTTTATTAGGAACCAGGATTGGAGACGAGTCAGTTTGGGACGATTGTCTATTTTTTTTTTTACGTAATAGGTCGGCAAACGAGCAGACGAATTACCTGATGGTAAGCAATTAGCGCCGCCCTTGGACACCCGTAACAGAGAAGTTACGAGTGCATTACCGACCTTTTGGGGATTAGGGATTTCAAGATTTAGGGATTGGAGAAGGGAAAGGATTGGTCTTCCGGTAACTTCACTCTCACGGCAAAACACAACGCTGTGGTTATTTCACGCTGGTTTTCTGTGTGTGATACATGCAAAGAGTGTGAGTTTGTTGAGATTTAATATCAGTGTATGTTGTTTTAAAAATCATTTGTTAAGTTTGAGGCAAACCCTTTGTTTTTACGAATTAGCAACCTAGTTTTTGACAGACCATCTTTATAATCTTAAACCAATTTAAATTTACACTACTTTAGTAAAATAGTTAATTTAAAATGTTGTTTTTGAATATGGTACACAATATACGACACTGCCCTAAGAAATTAATAGCTAAACGGTTCTAGGACAATTCCTTGGTGTTCAAGGTTGTCCCCTTAGAACAGCCATGGAAAACAATTAACGAGATAGAATCAGCCACGACAAACCATTGTTTCACCATTATCTAGGTCACAAACATAGTGTTTATGTTAAACACTACTTTGTTTATGGTATTCAAATGGCAAGATGTAAAAACTGCATGAACTCTTTCAGTTTAAATGCATTCTTATTGCTTTTGTAAACGAACCAAAAAACGTCTAAATTAAATCCGATCCTTTCTCCTCCGTCTCTAATCCCCAAATCCTCAAGTCCTTATCCTAAAATCCCAAAATCCTTAATCCCAGCAAGGCTGGCAATATACTAGTAACCATTCTGATGTTGCGACTGTCCCTGGTAAGCGCAAATCGCTTGAATTCAGGTAATCCATCTGATTGTTTGCCATAAAAAAGCATCTCAAGTTCGTTTCTCAAAGCCGACCAACGTACGAAGTACCTATAAGAAATTATAAGTTCTAAGACTAGTTTTCACATTAATACGAGGCGTGCCAAGAGGCTCGTCAATGACGATGCGCTTGTGGAGGCCAGATTTCAAAGCCTAGAACACAAGAACCAAGTTGTAATCAGTTCGGTTTCTTATCGGCATTGCACTTACCCCGCAACCCCGGCTGATCGGATAGTATTTGGGAAATCACCATCAGCCATCGTGCCACCCAACAATCGGCAAAAGTCACCGGTTCATGGTGGATATCGCACCCACAAGCATGAAGCGATTCGCCTCCAATTTTATAATAGAACCGCTGAGAAGTGCAAGTCTTTGCCCGTCTTGACTCTCCGAAGGGTTTCTTAAGGTCTAAGTGTTAGCCCAAATGAATAGAATACTTATGGGTAGGTCCATCGTGGGTCGCATAATGACTTACCATCAGGGGATATAGTGACCAAACGCCAGGTAATTACAAATTATACTATCATTATGTTGATTTTTTTGTATAAATATTGACATAATCGATATAAACTTAGGATCAAGTAAATTATTTTTCTAAATGAACAACAGACAAAAATTTTAACATTAAATCAAAATCGAAGAATTTCTTTAATTTTATTTTAACGGGCGAAATGATAGGAACTATTACAGTTTTATTTACACACATTATAAACTTGAAGTAATTACCTACCTACTAATATCCATTCATTCTTCCTACAAACTCATGTCTATTGATAGTAATTTGTTTTCGTTAGATAATAAACGCTACATATTTGTATAAATTAATTAAAGTACTTATATACATAACATGACACTAAACAAACATAGATTTATTTTTCATATCATTCTGTACAACGCACAATGCTAATATTGATACAATCTAGTTTGAGCTGACATTTTATGTTTATTTAAATTAATTTTTAGCTTATTTTTTATTGTGGTTTCTTATACTTATACTAACTGTGAGCCATAATTCTGCACAAATGGGTCCGCTCAAACGTAGTGATACCACGGGCTCACAGAAAACCGGCGTGAAACAACCACAGCGTTGTGTTTCGCCGTGTGAGTGAGGTTACCGGGGGCCCAATCCTTCCCATCCCTAAACTCTATCTGTGGCATTCCGATACTTTTATCCAAACGTCATAAACGATACTTTTCTATGAAATTTGTATGAAAAACTGAGTTATGACGTCATTTCATTTTTGCGTCATATAGGTAGCTTACTTATTTCTTAATAATTAGCTAAAAAATCTAAAACTTTATCGATCGATCGATGAATAAAAGTATAGTTATTTTTCAATTTTTTATTGTATTAAAACATCGAATTAATTTATTTTTAACCTAGGAAACTACCAAATTCTCCACTAGCATACATATATACCTACCATTACGACATTAGTTAAATTTGTGTCGCACATCGATACTTCTAGTATAGTGACTAAGCTCTCGAGAGCAAAAAGGCTTCCATCTTGGAAGTATGACGTCACAACATACACGTGGCGGTCAACTGTAACCCTATACTATATCGACCTACATTTCACTCCTCCCAGTAGACAGTAATCCTTATAATATTGTGTATACGTCTCATTTTACGATCATGAAAAATTTAACGCCATATTTTCTGAAAGAATATTTGGCAAATTTGTACTGCGGTATCAA